GGGGAGGGGAGGGGAGGGGAGGGGAGGGGAGGGGAGGGGAGGGAAGGGGAAGGAGGGAGAAGGGGAGGAAAAAGAATAAAATACAACCGGCTGGTTGACGGGGACATGAGAGCGAGAAGGCGGGTCCGCGTATCCTCCTGCTGTTTCCCGTCACTTCCTCTCTACTCGTCCCCTTCAAAACCTCCTCGATCTCAATGCGATGTCTGTCCTCAACCTCCCTCTCCTCCTCCTCCTCCTGCTCCTCCTGCTCCTCCTGCTCCTCCTGCTCCTGCTCCTCCTCCTCGAACTTGTCCTCCCCCTGCTCCGCTCTTCCCGCGTGCTACACGTTCTCCTCTGCTCTGCTTCTTCCTCCTCCCCTCCTCTCCCTCGCTCCTCACCCAAGGAGAAGGTCGAAGACGCTGGTCCCATCCTCACCGACGCCTGTCGCACGTCAGCAGCTGCTGAAGCACTCGAGCGGCTTACCGAGGAGGGAGGACCCTCGACCGACAGCCCGACGTTGCACTGAAGCACCTGCTGGGAAGTGAGACGGAGAAAGAAGAAAGGAGGAGAGGAACGAGCAGGAGGATGTAGGATAGAAGTGGAGAGGGAGGAGAGGGAGGAAGAGAGGTAGTAGCACAGGAAGGAGGATGAGGAGTATGGAGGAGGAGCAAGCAGCGGGAGGAGGAGGAAGGTTGAGAGGATCAGGATGATCGGGATTGTATATCAGAGGAGGCAAGTTAGAAAGGAGGAAGGAAAGGAAGATATGCGATAAAAGAGGAAATCACCGCATCTTCAAACTGAATGACATCCTGCAAGAAAGTAAGATGAACAAACAGAGAAGGTCCAAAAACTCAAAGAGGAGACGTGCAGCAAGGAAGAGAGAGAGAGGAGGGTGAGGTTGCACAATGAAAGGCGCAAGGAGGAGGAGCGAGGTAGGATGAGAGCTGGAGCTCGAGTCGGAAGGATGAGCACATAGCAACAGCAGCAGCAGCAGCAGCAGCAGCAGGGAGATGGAAAGAAGCCCGGGAAAGGATTTCGAGAAGAGAGCAAAGGAGGAAAGTGGATGGGGAAGCAGGAGGCGGGAAGGATAAGGAGGAGGCAAGAGGGGTAGGAGGGAGGCAGGAAGGGTAGGGAGGAGGCAGGAAACCTCTGAGGTAGACGTCACTCCTCCCATCGGAACCCCGTCGTGGACTATGTCGTCCTGCTCGACCTCCCAGCTGCCGCCACTGTCAGGCCTGAAGACATCGGTCAGACTAGCAACCAGAAGGGGAGGAAGTGGTGGTGATGGGAGAGGAGAGGAGAGGAGAGGAGAGGAGAGGAGAGGAGAGGAGAGGAGAGGAGAGGAGAGGAGAGGAGAGGAGAGGAGAGGAGAGGAGAGGAGAGGAGAGGAGAGGAGAGGAGAGGAGAGGAGAGGAGATGTTAGTAGAGGAGAGGATGAAACGAGCGCTCGACGGGATGGTTAGATTCGAGTCGACCTGACAGCATCAGGAACATCATCGTGATCATCATCGAGTGAGGGTCTTGAAGCAGCAGATAAACGAGCTTGACCCTCCTTTCTTCTCCTTCTTCTTCGGCTTCTTCCCTTCTAGCGCAGGAGCAGGGGAAGGTTTGTTAACCCGTGCAACAGCAGGCTGATTCTGAGACCATCCTGCGGCGGGCCATAAGTTCCTCCTCCTCCCTCCTTCTTCCTCCTCCCACCTCCCTTTTCTTTTCGGGTGGGCTGGGTTCGGGGTTTTTTTT